TGGAACAGGTTGCCCAGAGAGGTAGTGGAGGCCCCATCCCTGGAAACATTCAAGGCCAGGTTGGACAGGGCTCTGAGCAACCTGATCTAGTTAAAGGCCCGTGTCTGCTGTGGTGGTACCCACAATAGGGAGCATGAGAATGCCAATGGTTTTGTCTCTGCAGGACATCAACGCATACAACGGGGAACAACCTGAGGAGAAACTCCCCTTCCCCATCATTGCTGATGCAAACCGGGAGCTCGCTGTCAAGCTGGGCATGCTGGACCCAGATGAGCGGGATAAGGACGGCATGCCCCTGACTGCTCGCGTGGTGAGTACCTGGCCCTGGAGCACCACTGCACGGCAGCCTTCTCAGCAGTAGGCATCGCCTGCCATCCTGCCCCATGTCTGTAGGGCTGGGCTTGAAGATGGGGGCAGCTTACCTAGATGGACATGACCATCTTCAGGAGCTAGGTTGACTTCCGTGGGCTAGATCCATGTGTTGTGCTGCTGGAAGAGGCTGGCGCAGCTCCATCTTGCTGTTGCTGCCAGCTCATCCTGATTGCACCTATCCTAACACAGAGGGGACAAAAAGTGCTTGACTTGCTGGACTTTTCCCTCTCCCCTCCTGTGCTTGCTTTAGAAGGTCAAGGGGAAGAAACATTTCAAGTAGCAAAACAACCTGGCATTGGAAATGGGAGCTCCCGGAGCAAATACCATGTTTCCTGTGCCTGGGCATCACTTGTTGCTCTAGATCCCCACCATGGCATCTCCCCTGTTCCAACACCTGTGATCAAGCAGGCCACCTCCCCGGAAAGGGAGGAACAGCAGGACTAAGCAGATCCAGCAGGGCAGTTGGACAAACATCTTCTGCCCTGACCCTTACTCCCTGTGCTCAGGTGTTTGTTTTTGGCCCGGATAAGAAGCTGAAACTCTCCATCCTGTACCCAGCCACCACCGGGAGAAACTTTGACGAGATCCTGAGAGTGGTGGACTCCCTGCAGCTGACAGCATACAAGAAAGTCGCTACCCCTGTGGACTGGAAGGTGAGGAGGGGAGCAAAGCTCACAGCCAAGCACTGAAAATGTGCATTGAGATGTCAGCCAGCCTCCTTGGAGGGGGATCTACAGGGTGGGGAATGCTGCTGAGGTCCTGAGATACCAGTTAGATCCCAGCCCAGGCCCCAGGGCTGCTGCCATCTAGAGTCAGTCATAGGAAGCTCCCTTCCCTGCCCTCAGTCCCTGGTGCCAGCAAATACTGGGCTTGGTCCTTCTGGCTATCAGTGTTTGAGTCTGGGCCAAGGCGGGTCCTGCCCTTGTTGTCTGTGGTAAGGAAGGGCATTACCAGGTGTCAGTGTGCCACAGTCCACTCAAAGCCAGCAAGCATGGGGCACCCCTCCCTGGGCTGGCTCACTGCTCTCCTGCCTTTGAGCCAGGAAGGGCTTTTATCGGCACAGCCCCACTTCGCCCAGCACATACACAGACGAGTCCTATCCTCGTGGAAAATTACTAGTTGAAGTTGCCTAGTTGTGGCCATCCCTGTTAAGTAGCATTATTTAAAACTCCCAAAAAACAGTTTGGGCAGTCAAGATAAAGCAAGAACAAGCAGCCCAGTCTGGTTGCTTTAGCTAGCTGTTGTGTCCTCAGCCCAGCAGAGCTGCTCAGCTCCTGGACCTGTCCTGCTCTGGCTTTGACAGCTGTTACTGGGGAAGCCTGCCTGTCTGGAGCCAGAGGACACACTCTTGCTGTTACAGGGTGTCCTGGAGAAGTCTTCCTGTGTTATGAGGCAGGACCAGGCTGCCAGAGCATTGTCCCAAACACCCGCTCTGTCTAGGCAGGAAGGCCCCGTAGGCACAAGCCTCGGAGGTTGAGTAACTTGGGGTATCATTGCACTTCACTGTGCCCCGCCACACCAGCGTCCGCATGCTGAGCGTACAACAAACTGCACCTTCATTTCCTGGGCAAAGCAGGGTACAGAGGCCTTGCCTCTGAAGGCTCCTGTCTCCTGCAGCCTAAGCTCCCAGCGGTGAGGGGTCAGCTCATCCACCAGCCCGCCTCCCAGGGAAGCACACCCTTCCCTGGCTGGGGCTTGGCACACCCAAGGGGGAGCCAGCACCGCCTATCCAGGGGTGCCTGAGCAATAGGAATGGATGAGCAGACTCAGCTCCCTCCTGCATCATAGAGATGCCCAAGTTCCCCTCTTGTTACTCCCTGTTCCCGTGGGAGTGCTGTGGGGAAGAGCTGGGCTGTGGGATGCTGTTGGCAGGGCTGGCAGACAGCACAGCTTTCCCTTTTGATATCACCTGCACCTCCTGGCATAGCTCCCACTCAGTCCTCACTGCGGGCTCCAGGCAGAGCTGCAGGGGATGTGCCTGGGGCACTGGGGCTGAGTGTTCACAGGGAGGTAGCGTCACCTGGCAGCAGGGACTTGCCACCCGCATCCAAGCCTGCCAGCTCCTCTTGCACTCTCACAGTTCCCATTTTCTTCCCAGCCTGGTGACAGCGTCATGGTTGTGCCCACCTTACCTGATGAGGAAGCCAAGAAGCTCTTTCCCAAAGGCGTCTTCACGAAGGACCTTCCGTCAGGCAAGAAGTACCTGCGTTACACCCCGCAGCCGGAGTGAGCGGGCCTGCCCGTCTGTGCCTGGCTCCTGCCTCCCTGACACCGCACGATCAGCAGCCTCGTAGCATCACACACACTGATGGTGCATCACAATACTAAACCAATCCTCCCCATCTCTTTCATCTCCCCACATCCCCTCAAAACTAAAACCTGGGTGTTTTCTTGCCTTGAATCAGCCCTGCAAGGAAGAGGTTAGCAGACCAGTGTGGGCTCCGGTGCTTGCACTGTGGAGTCTCTCCTGTTCGGCACTGCCCAAGCTTTTCGCAGAGGCACGGTGAGAAGCTTGGTGTCAGCAGCCAGGCCCTGGAGGGGAGGTCCTGCTGGGCTCGCACACCTCCCATCGAGGAGCTTCAGGAGCTCCAAACTGCTGCGTGCCTTTCGGAGCAGCCATCACTAACGCATTAACACCTTTGGTCCCGTGCGTAGGGGAGGAGCTGCAGAGCCAAATCTCTCACTTCTTACTGCTTTCTCATCTCTTGCTGGAAGTTGATTGTTTTCACTGATTTGTGGAAGAGGGAATACAGCAAATAAACTGATCTTCAGTACTACCTGCAGTATCCCTCGTCTGCCTCTGCTGGCGTCCACGGCACCCTGCACCATTTACTTGGTTCCCTAGGCCATGCAGCTGGGATGTGCCCATGCTCTTGGGTGGGTGCCAGCGGCACAGATTGCCCTTCTTGCTCTGTAACTAGGGCACTTTGGAAATGCAGGTTATCTCAGGGCACACCGTTTCAGATAAGGCAGCAGGGCCCAGGGCAGCCATACTGCTCCTGCTTTGGTGGTGGGAAGGAGGAGATATCTGCTCAGGGAACATGCCTCAGCCTGGTCTGCTGTTAGCTGTGGCTTGGGGGGTCCTACCCTGCTTCCCAGGGCATGAGTGGGCACGATACAAGCCTGCTCGCCTGCGCCTACACCTCAGGGATCTGTCAAGAGAGGAGCGATGTTTTAATATGCTAGGAAAGAAACCTGCTCACCAAATAGCTCATAGGCTGAGCACCAGCATCTCTTGCTGCCCAGTGCAATCAGCAACACTCAAAACCAGCAGCTGTTAAAGAAATAGGCTGGCTCAGGGCACAAATGTACCCCACAGCAAGTGGGAACTAGTAGGGTTGATGCTCATGGTAAGCAATGCACTGGATGTAATGAGCTACCCTCCAGCATCCTGCAGGGCCTAATCCTGGGGCAGCACCCACACCCACCTGGGATGTGGCCCATCAGTCCTCAGACAAGGTCCAGAGCTGCTGGCTTCTCCCAGCACCCGTCACTGTCCTCCTTCACCCTGGCATGCAGGCCAGGACACCTCACCGAGGACATCCTTCCCCAAACATGGCTGCGTTTCAGAGACTGCCCTCTTTTCATTATCAAAAAAAAAAAAAAGTGTGTATATTAATATTTAATTGCCTTTAGGAACCATACAGTGAATAGTTGTATATTTCCCCAAAAGACTTTTTAATGAACCGCTATTATGAAACTCTGTATTATTCCTACGTATTATTTTTACTCTTAAAAAGAAAAGCCCTGGTCTCTGGTTTGACTCATTACCCCTTTCACTCTGCAAGAAGTGGGAGGGAGATCAGCAATTTCAAGGGGAAACATTCCTTTTCTATGTAGTTTTTTTTCAGCCTTATCAAGCTTGGCAGCTTCCCTCGTTCCCCACAGTTGGGCTGCACGAGTTCCTGGTTTTCCTGCTAGGCTCTCGGCACACAGCCCTGGCCTTGATCTGGTTTTCTCAGGGAGAAAGGGCTGTCTGCCCCTCCTTCCCCAGAGCTTTCCAACAGACTGCCCAATTTTCTGGACGCTTGAGGACATGGCCCCACGGCAAGCTTTGTGCAAACAGGCTGCTCTGAGCATCCCCAGGGAAGGGGCACTGCAGGGCGAGCACAACCTGCAAGTCGGGACAAGGGGGAACCAAGACCCATCACCAGACAAGGGGGCTTAAAGCTGGCAGAGGCAGCTGCTGGTCCCACTTATGAGCCAGGCAGGGGCTGACGGACAAGAGCCCACAAATTCCTGCCTGCTCCCCCATGCCACTGTGTCCCTGGAGATGCAAGCCAGCCAGATGGACTCAAGCAAACACAGGCTTTGGTTCCAGTACAGCTCAAGTGGTTTTCTTTTAATCCCAGAGAAGTGAAATGCAACATTTGTTCGAGTTGGTAATAACATCCAGAGACAGAAGTCCAAGCCCCCTACTTGGTCAAGTCATTTGTGTTTAAGGCACTCTGCAAAACCAGCTTTCCTCTTCTCCTCCTTCTGATTTTCCCCATGCGGCAGCAGAATACCTGGTTTGGTCTTTTCTCCATAGTGACACCCACACGTCCTGGCTCTTCTCACCAATTCTGGAAATTGGCAACAGCAAATCCAGCGGGAGCCGAATGGAGAAATGCCAGGAGGCCGGGTCAATAAATACGGACGGGCACGGGAGGGAGCACAGCGCCTGGGGAGGGGGCACAGGGGCTTCGAACTTTTGCGGGAAGGGAACAGGCACCGGGTGTCCTCCCTGCAGGTACCGACGTGATTCCCCCTTCCTTTCTCCCCACTGGCTCCAAAACGAACAGGAGCGTGGGGGCTTGCAAGCATCCCTCCCCAGCTGCACCCCCAAACATGGGGCAGCAC